TATAGGATGTAATTTTGATAGTGATTATCGTATATTTGCTGATGATCTTAAGATATTTAGAAAGGTTTCGGAATCTCGTGACATGTCTGTACTACAATCTGATTTAAATAAGTTACAAGACTGGTGTGCAAATAACAAAATGTTTTTAAATGTTGAAAAGTGTCAGTCTATTGTTTTCAGCAGGAAAATCTCTCCAACCCTACCGAATTATTTTATTAATAGTACAAAAATTACAGTAAAACAGTCTGTGAGAGATTTAGGTATATTACTTATAGTAAATTAACTTTTATTCAACACCTTGAATTTATCATTTGTAGAGCTAATAAGGCACTTGGCTGCATAAAACGTTATTGTCGTGAGTTTAGAAATTTTAATTCCATCAAAATGCTATTTGTTTCAATCCTCGAATATGGTTCGATAATCTGGAATCCACATTACAAAATTCATGTTGGTAGGCTTGAAGCAATACAGTTAAAGTTTTTTAAATATATAAAATGGTTGCTGCCTTATTATGTCCAAGATGATTACAATATTTCATTAAATTATTTGTCTCTTTCTACACTTGAAATTAGAAGAAGATATCAAGCTTTATGTTTTGTTTATAAACTTTTAAATAATTTGATGAATGATACTTCAATACTAAATTTAATTAATTTTCACGTTGCACAGTATAATAGCAGATCAAACCAATTATTCAAAATTTCGTTTGCACATAATAATTATCCATTTAATTCTCCTAAATGATCTTTTAAGAATTTGTAACATGTACAGTGTCAAGTTGGACTTTTTTAATTTTAAAACCTTTAATAGCTTTAAGTGTTTTCTGAAAGTTTCTTTGAGTTAGTCATTTTGTATTCTTTAATTATATTTATATGTTGCTTGTTTTCTATTATAATTTTATTATTACTTAATGTAAAGGATATTACCGTTAAATAAAGTTAAAAAAAGTAGATTGATACGAAATTATATAATTAATTACAAATTAATTAATTTGGGTTTTTGTTGTGTGAGATATGAAATGGTGAAAGTGGATTTGTTCGATTTGCGAAAAATGGGTCAGAAAGCGACCCTCTTTCGTGCCTCTCCCCTAGGGTACACACCCCCTTTTTGACATTAGCGAAATTCCTTACCTGCAACTCGGGATGATTATTGTCCTTGTGTGTAGCAGCACGTATAACACCAGCTCTCCACCCCCACTCACTGATTTTACCAACTTTTAATTTGGTAAAACCACTCACTGATAAAAAACGTTTCCCCACAATCTCCTCCCGACATTTGTATGCCATCGTACATCACAATTAACACTTAACAACAATTAGCTTTGTTGATGCACAACATTTATTAATAATTTTTTTCTCAACATTTATTTTCTCCCGTTTGATTTTTTTTTTAAATTTTTGAAATCGACTTGGTAGCGCCGCGCAATTCAACGCATGTAAAGATTTTCAATCTCGCTGTGGCGGACCGGCTAGGCCGACCTCAAAGAAACCTCTCGCTTGGGATCGTGGAGGCGTCGGCTTAGGTCGCCTCTTGCTCGCACACATCCACCACGAGGACCAACAACTCCTCGAAGTGTAACTCCATCTCTGATGGTAAACCAACATTGCCGAAACGCCGACAGGGAGCAGCGCTGGTCTGAACGCCGACAGAGACATCTCCGAACGCAAACCTGGACTATATCTAAATATTCCAGTTTTTCTATGGAAAATAGGTAAAATCATTTCCGGGCAAACCGGATGTTTGCAGAACATGTCTTTTCGAGATCGCTAAAACACAAAAAATGCAAAATTAAGCTTGAAATGTGTTATTTTTGCATGTTTCAATGCAATTTGAGCGGTTTTTTTTGAAAAAATTAGAAAAAAGTTTATCAAGATGGGGTAAAAAATTGTAAAATTAAGCTTAYAATCTGTTATTTTTTCTTATTTTATAGAATTTAGAGCGTTTRCTATAAAATACAAAAGATTTTGTCAAAAGAAGGTAAAAAATTACAAAATTAAGCCTGTCAAGTCCCAATTTTGCTTACTTAATGAATTTTGAGCATTTT